TGAGCTTTCGTGGTCCCTTCCAACTCCTAATGTTCTGTGATAAGTAAATGGAAGTCAAGGCAGGGCAAAGAAATGCTGTCAATTTCACCAAAAAGCAGGCTTTTGTCACCTTTGTTCTTTGCTTGGGATGAACACCCCAGAGATTGTGAAAGAGGCAGCTTAAGTCATGGGTAACGAGTGCTTTAGTAGGGACTTTGTACCAAAGGTTTATCAAGCGTGGTATTGAGCACGTGGGGTTTCATACTGCTGCCAACAGTGAGAGGTCAACTGCTTACCCGCTGCAAATGATGTCTGATCTCTGCACTGTGGCACAGCTCTATGGTCATCATTGCCAGAGTTGAAAGAATTGATTTTTCATATCAAAAGACAGTCTGGTTAGAGGCAGTGGGCTTTCAGAAGCAGCTGATGGTGCTGTTACATGAAGCTGGTATTTGAATGGTCAGCTGGAGCCCTGCAAAAGCTCTGTTGTTGTGTGCATCACATCTGAGCAACACCACGAGTCCACATGCTGGAGCCACAGGCGACCTTGGAACACACACAGCTGACACAACGCTGCGTGGGCACTCCCACTCCAAAATTAGGGCTGTTGCAGCACATTCAGCCATCTCAGTGTCTCCTCAGCAATGCCTGTAGTAGCTCAGACTGCTCGGTAGCCAGAAATGCCGAGAGTAAGGGAACACTGCTCTCTGACCAGCTGTGAATTTTACTGCCTGCTTCTACAGCTATGCCAAGGAACCCAGGTTTGGCCGAGCAGCAGCACAGTAATCACAGTGTCACTCAGGGGTGTGTATTTGGTGCAAACCCTCCCAGGAATGTTGCACAGCATATGACATGTTGGGTTTTTATAGCACTGTTTGCAATAGAGACTGATTGCTCTGTAGAGCAGAGTCCCACCAGGGTCTGAGTTCATGGGTCTGAGGTGGTTTCCATGTCCAGGTGACAGGCCTGGCTGGTACAGGTCACACCTGGACCCAGGTCTCCCACCCCCTTTTCAGAAGCCTTCCTCGGCCAGAGAAATGAGGCTTCCAGGAGCAAGTCTCCTGGTGTCTGTGGTATTTTGGTATTTGTGCACAGCACAGAGCAGTGGTGCTCGACAGGCACCCAAGAGCTATAAAGCAGCGGAACACCCAATATCTTGTTAAAACTATAGAGGGAGGAGCAGGCATTAAACCAAGCTCCCCTTTTAAACAAGCAATCCTTAGAAAGCTTTCCTCCACCTCCTGGGGCCAGAGAGTGCTTTCCTGTGTGTAAGGTGAGGAGAACACATGGCAGCTGTGCAATCCTTGTACTTTCTGAAAGCACAAATGGATGAGAGCACTGTCAGTTTCCCCAGCCATCTCTCAGCAAGCATACAGAAAACAGGGGTGTTGCAGAGCTGCTGGAGTTAGCAGCTTTGTTTGGAGCTGAGGAAAAGGTCAGGATGGAGGATGTGTGCACAGGTCACAGGAAAATGATGCCTGGTTGGTAACACAGTGCTCCTCCATATGCTCCAGCATTTGGGAGATGATTATTGGCTGATTGTACTTTCAGGTTTTTAAAGAGCAGCTCAGCAAAGCACGCTCACAGGCATTTTCAGTCTCTCACCCAAGCCAGCCATGTGTAAAGCAACAGAAAGGAGGAACCATTTGCACAACCAATTGCACCATGTCCTAACCTTGGTATTTTCAGAGGTAGGTGTAACAAGACAGAGGAGTCACCAAAAATTTCCATCAGCAGTGGAGAGGGGAGTTAAGTCAGTTACCAGAACTGAGCCACCTGTGATTCCTCTCCAGTCTGCTGTGGAAAAGGCAAGTCTGCCTGGCAGGTCTGAGCCCCAGTGCAGGTTTCCAGAGCAGGAAACATTCGCTCCCTGGAAGAATGTCCAGAAACACCGAGAAACAATAAATAAACATCAACAAAAGCCATCTTCCAAGGTCTGACAATCTTTTCAAACTGGAGCCATCCAGCCAATTCACAAGACTACACCTTGTTAAACATGAGATTTTACTATCAGTCTGTTCTCAGAAATTTATTTTTCCCTACTGAATGTGAGGCTTCACTAAAATAACAATAAAATAAAGCAGCCCTGTCTCTGAAATATCCACCCATCCTTGGCAATAATGGGACTACAGACATGCTTGAAGTGCTTGCTCGCCCAGGAGATACCAAAACAAGGCTCCTCGTACCCAACAGAAACTACCAAAGCTGCTGTCAAAAAATAGTGAAGTTCTTCTCTCTAATTACCTAGATGCTGCTTTAATTCCTGTGTGAAAATGTGCTACATGAGCATTTTAAGAGTCATCCCCTTCCTGCTGTTTGATATTGCACTGACACCGGATAGGAATGGTTTTCATTTCAACTTGATGAACACATGTGAAAGTGTTTGTCATTACAGCAGTCCAAGAGACTGAGAGCCTGACCACATACAATCAAATAAATACAGAACTAAAGTGGGCTCACTTGTGTATTCAGGTGTAACAAAGACTATTAATGCTCATGGCAGATGCTTGATATTTTATTTGAATAATTAACATTATTTAAAGTAAAATTTACTACAGAACTCTGGTAAAATTTGTTTTTAAATAGACGTGATCAAAACACCCGTTCGTTTAATTGTAAAGGATTAACCAAGGCTGGGAATCAGAAGGAGGCCCATTGACAGAGCTGGTGTTTCAGCAGCTGCCCCTCCAGCCATGCGTTGCTGACCTGGACACAGAACAACCCTTGTGCCACTGCACCACTGGTAGGAGCCGTCAGTGCCACACATCGTGCCAATGCAGGCTCTGGGGTCAGGACCTGCACTGCAGGACACGCAGGGCCAGCTGAAGAGACCCTGGGACATGCTGCAGCCCTAGGGCATGGGGCATCTGCAGCTCCCACTGCCTGGCAGACCGTAAGATCCCAGACAGATGTCAGCCCCAGAAGACAGCAGCAACCACAGCAGCACCTCTCATCCCACCAGGTCTCCAGCCGTCTGCAAGCACTGGGAGCCCTCAGCTGATGCTGACCAGAGCCATCAGAAGGCACCTTAGGGGGTTTCTGGCTCAAAACTACCAATTTTGACTCTGCCTCTACACTTCCTCGCCGAAGCCTTTCCACCAAGGCACCCAGACCTCAGCATCTGGCAGTGGCTAGGGCAAGGCAGCAGAACCTCTTAACAGTTTAAAGATAAATCAAACTGACCAGAGAACCTAAGGAAAAGCCCTAAGGCTTTTAGTTTTTCTAACTAATCAGGATCCCCATTTCATTGTTCTCACCTGGGAAGGAAAGCAGGGCAACTGCGCAGAGGCAGCAGGTATCAACCCACCAGCTGCTGGATGTCCTTCTTAAACAAGTTTTAATTTCAACCCCACCACTACAAGCTGGTGAAGCTCAATGCTGCAAGATGCAATGCAAGGCAAACTGCCCTTGTCCTACTCATCATCTATCTCTTAGATACTTGCCAGCTACATCTCTCCTCAGCATCATTTTAGGTAAAGGTACGTAATTAATGTAGCTGACTGCCTCACAGAATTCCAGGAGTTTACATTGGACCCGAAGTAGCTGTTTTGGTCATAAAAAGTTAACAGCATCACAGAGACAAGCGTCATCTCCTTCAGTATCCTGATAAGCTAAAACCTCCTTCTGAAAAAAACTAAACTGAGGCAATGAGCTGAGCCATTTTCCCCTCTCCAAGTCCAGTGCTCCCAGCTCCATGCTCTAACACCAATTCAGATCCCTAGGCTTGGTTTTTGCCTCAAAACAAAAATAAGCCACAGAAAAAAGCTGCGCGTTCCACCACTGCAGTCACCAACCCAGAGACCTCTGGCCATTCTGCCCAACGCAGCGCTCACGCGTGCCTACAAGACAGGCGGCACCTGGGCGGGCAGGATCCAGCAAGTGTTCATCTGGTGCAGCCAAAGTGCGTGAGAGATGGGAACCACGACACTGGGAGTTTTATTTGAGGATTTTATTAGTTGTTCTTCTGCAGAATCAAAATATTTAGCAAATTACTTCAAAGATTCCCCAAGACTGCTGATATTTTATGTATTTAGAACAATGTACAACATAATACTTTGGACTATGAAAACCAACCCAAAACCTGATTTCTAGTACTAAATGCTGTTATGTAATTCTATAGCAGTGTGAGAGATTGAACTAATGCAGTGAGTATATTTGTTTTAAAGAAAGTGCTTGAAAGAAACCTCCTGCATCACACTATTATTTTAAACAAAAAGATAACTGATTTTCTAGCAGGGCATTGTCTTAAATATCCTACACAAGCCTGGGGGATTAATACTGAGCCCCAGCTCTCTGCCTTCAGGTTCAAGAACCAACAGAAGTTGCAGGTCCAGGTAGAGTTCACAGCTTACCTGCTTCATGAGAACTGACATACCACTCAGCATTGGACACACCTATCTGGCAGAAGTGTTGGATGCATGGGTAAAAAAAACCACAAGAGGAACAGCTTCTCTCTTTATGCATAGCAACAGTTTCTGAACCAGTGTTTTACTAAGTTACAGACTAACTTTCAACCAAAAAATAAAACTCCATTGCACTAAAGGTCAAACTTAACCAGTTAATCTGGACTCAGATAGTCAAGTAATTCAGTACAAGCAGACACCATGAAAGCAGCTTCAAAGAACCAAAGCATTCTATTTTCAGAACCAACTTAGTATTCTTCTGTCCAACTCCAGTGCAACAGTGAGGGGGAGAAACCAGTCCCATCTCTACCTATGTACAATTCCAGTAGAGACTGGGCAGTCTCAACTCTCCGTGGCCAAGCTGGAAAAAGGAAACTTAGGAAAGGACACTTAAAAAAATTAATTTAAGAAAGAAAGTTGGCTCTCAGTGGAAAGAGAAATGCTGGAGTGATGCACGCGGGCAGGCTTGCTCAGTCACTCTCCCATGTATGTGAAAAGCCAGACTCCTTCCTGCCAACAGCAAGTCACACTGCCTGTGACGGTGGCAGGGCTGGTCCTGCTCTGTTGCACACCGAGAATCCAGGAATGTGTTTTCAGCTGGCTCCTGCACGGGCCATTAGATCTTCCAAGGCGTTGTGTTGGTCATTGTGATGCAATAATAAGACCTCCTTAATGTCTTTTAGTTCAAAGCCCATTTCTTTAAATTGACTCATTAGTTGGAGAAGATCTGTGATCTGAAAGACACAGACAGTCCATTATTTGCGAGACAAAATGCTTGGTGGAGGTTTAGCCAAGAGCCTGTCTTCAGTGACTGGGCACCCCACGGGTGGATTCCTCCACCCCAAGCACAGCCTGATCCAGCTCTGTCTGGAGAAAGCCCACTCACACCAGAGCGGGCAGAGCTCCAGCTGCAGTAGCCCACAGGGCCTCACCATAATCCCCTGGTGTTTGCAGTCCTGCATTGCCAAAATCCTCTTCTGCAAGGGCACCAAAGCTCAGTCTGTAGGGATGTCTCTCTCCCAGCAGGAAATTAATCAGCCTGGCCCAATTAGGGCTTCCAAAAATGCTGATTAGTGACACCCTGCTCCCCCATCCAGCAGCTCCTGCTGCATCTGGTTTTTTTCAATTACTTTGACTTTGGGAACAGTGCAGCAGCCCTATCAACTGGCATCTCAGATCTAGGGCAAATCTGAGGGATTAGCACAAACCCTGTTGGACACACAGCGTATGATACTGCCAACAACCACCACAAATCCTCCCTAAGCTACAAAGAAATAAAGAAGTGAAGCAGCTGATCAAACTTTTATGAACCTGCTGCCATCTACAGTGCCTCTGATCCACTCCAGGAGAAACAAAAACCCCAAACCAGCAAGCAGGTTGAAATGGACCACCAGGACATTAGCAATGTCCAGTTTTGGGGTCGGCCACTTCTCCCACCTTCACACTGTCTCTCCTCTGTCTGCAAGCTCATCACTAATCCAAGAACAGCTGGAAGGCACATACATGTCTGAAGGGGTTAGGCTGCACCTCTAAAGATTTCATATAACAATACAAGAGGCTGGCAGACTTTACAAAGATCCTGCTGTCCTCTGCCCTGGTTACCCACTCTTGCCTCTGTACCTTTAGCACTGGCAAAGCAGCCAGACCCCAAAACCTGTATTTTCCAGCTTCTTCCAGAGTGAGCCCTAACCCAATTTGCTGAGCAGTCAGGCAGATGCATCTGTACAGGGGAGAAAATTTATGGCCAGGGCAGGCTGGCAGGGTTTGAAAGATAATTTGCTGCTTCTGAAGTTAACTGTCTCAGTGCCAAGCACTTTGCCCACAAGAGAACACTGGGTTCAAAACATTACAAACAGAATAAGCAGGGTCTTTAAAAAATCGAATTCCTATAAAAATGCATAGAAGTGAGCGTGATAAAACAATGTAGAAGACTTCTAATGCTTTAACACATATTTGCTTTATCACCAAAAGGATGTCCTTAGGCTGTCAGTTTTGGAAGCGAGGCAGTGTGACCATGAAAGCTGGAATTACATCAGCCAGAGGAACAGCTGCCCGAATTCCCATCACGGTGTATTTTCTCTATTGCTTAGTGTGTTGTGCCCTCACCTTCTCCTCTGAACACTGGTGCATTTCCAAAGCTGCTTCAACAAGAAGTGGATCAAAGCCCTTCTCACAAAGCTGTCCGTGTGCAAACAGGTAATCCAAAACCTGCAGGGAATGAAGAAAATTAAGTTTGGGGAGGTGCATATGCAGCATGCAGTTGAACACCATCTCTGTACACACAGAATGGCTGAGCATGACTCTACCCCAGGCTTCACCGGGGGGAGATTAAGCCCTTCCTAGTAGAGCTGAGATGCTCTTTATGCAAGAGTTTGTTCAGAGAAAAGAAATGAGCCCTTCTGTCCTGTGCTCTCCTACCAGTTCTGAATGTCATCTTCCACTCCAGTCAGAACAGCCTCTCAAGCCTCTCTCTCTTTAGCCTTCCGTGCCTGATCTCTGAGCAGAAGGCAGAAGTTAACTGTGCTTTTTATACTACAGGTTGTTAAAATGAAACTATAGGTCCAGCAGTCAAGATGTGTCAGCTTTTAGCTTCCTCTCAGACAGAGCTGATGCAATCTGAAAGCAGTCAGGCTTTTAAGACCAACTCAGCATACTGGTGAGTGAGCTGCAAATCCCTGCTCATACACCCAGAAAACACTGCCAAATTTCTTATTTGTCCTCAGCTTTGAGAGGTACGGACAAAGGCCACACATGTAATGCTAGGAAGGTGAAAGAATGCAGTCTGCATATACAGCAGGATTTGAAACTGCCCTGCTAAGAGACGTTTTTTCCATTTGATACTACAGTTCACTCCAGTGCACAGCTTAAACTGCTCGCGATGTGCAGGTAGTGGGCAAGCAGATCATCTCCACAAGCAGAAGTTGCTGGGACACTCTTGCTCCCCAGGCGCAGTGCTGCCAGGCGATGCTCTGCACAGCACACAGCCTGCCTAGGGTGAACACAGGACGTCCGCCACGCTCTCCCCACTTTAAAGTGTTTGTTTGAAACGGATCCAAGACTGAGAGCCACGCTTCACCCTGCAGGGCTTTATGCTCTGTGACCTGGTTTTAAGCAAGCATTTGAGGCAATGCATGAGGCAGGAAGCACCACAACCAGAGCACACAGAAGAAAGTCGGTCAGTGGTGCCTTGTGAGTGAGCCTGCAGGGGCCAATCTCTACAAGGAAAGGCGTCAGCATTGTAACCCCTTGTGCTCAGAGCAAGGAAACATGGCACTAAGCATAGTGTAGAGCCTTTTCTTCAGTTTTGGGAGCCTTTACTACCAGGTGACAACTTCTCTAGTGGTTAACACCACAGCAGCTACAGGCTGGAATCCCGTTAGAAGTACTCCCTCTGTCCATTTTGCAAACCCAGGCTGTTTCTCAGCAGAACTGGCATCCAATCAAGGGTTCCCTTCCTGCTGCACAAGCTCTTACCTGGTCTATGTTCTGTCCCTTCTTCTTCATGGCTTTCAGGACGTTTTCAGGTGAGTACCCCATGTTGACGACTGTCTCTATGCACTGCCTCTCGCTAGCAGAGAGGGCCTGCTGTAGGTCAGCTGCAGGGCCGCCTGACCTCTTTGTGCAGCTGGTGTTATTGGGCACTTTAGACACTGGGAAATTTTGGTGCGTTACCTGAAGGGAAAAACCCAAAGGTGATGGTCATCTTCTGCATCCCCACATTCTGTTTCTGGCTAGCACAGAACCAGGGTATTCCATGTAATTAACATGAGACGCTTTCTAGGCTGCCCCTGGGATGAAACTCACTGTTAGGATGAAACCAAGCACTGCACATAGGCTGACTCCCACCATACTTTTTACCCTCAAAACAACAATCAACAACCCAGATTCTTCGCAATATACCCTCCCCTACCAAAGGGACCAAAACCTTTCAATACCCAACCTCTTGCAGCAGTGAAGGTCCTTATGATCTACCCAAACCCTGTACCTCAGAGAAAGCATGGAGATCACTTCCTTCACCCCAAGTTCACTTATCATCGATGATTTTTTGCACTCAAATGAACACTACTTCTGGAGAGCTTCAGAACCATGAACCATTGCAAGCACACCGATATTTGGGAACTTACCACAGGGATTTCTGTTTCCTTGTAGTCTGGGTGTACCTGTTGGACAACACACGAATAAGATGACTACAAACATTATGCACCAGTGAGCAGAATCTGATATAACTGAGGGAGAAGCGTTTTATAGGAGAGGTCTGCGAATAAGTTTACAATGCTAGGGAGAGGCTTGTGGTTTGATCAGGCTTCCACATGCAAGATGTAGACATTACACAGTTGTGTGTAGTTACAGAACAGCCATCACAAGGATCGTTTCTTCTCTTGGTACTCTACAAACAGATTATACTCCAAGAAGGATGTGTGTGTCCCTCATAATAACTGTGAGCTTGTTCGTTCTGTCACTGCAGTGGCTACAAGTTCATACAGCTCAGGGTAACACACTGGCTCCCGCTCAGCTCTTGACCCAGTGCTGCGCTGCCTGAGTTCCAGTGATAATTTTGAAGTCACTGCCTAGAGACTTCTCTTGACCTTTTGACCATGAGAAGGGGCAAGACAAGCACATACTCATCTTCTACTCCCAAAGCACTGTATTCCGTACACCACATATGAGCAATGTGGCACAATGGCAAAAAAGAGCCTGTGTTTTCTACCAACGTCCAACCCTTGCTCCCATTCCCAATGTGCCAAAAAGGCTGGGTAATGCTCTCTGCAGTACAGCCACCCTGTTTCTGTAAAACTAGGCTGCCTGAGGGCAGGAACACCACACCGCTTTGTACCACTTCACCCTGCATTTTAAAAACAATTCCAAAAGGCTGCAAGAAATCACTGTGGACCATGAGCCTTCGTTTTTTACATTTCTTGGTAATTATGCCAACATAGATTGCTTGAAAGCTCGTCCACCTTTCAGAAAGGCCTTCTTTGGGCTCAAACTAAACAAGAAAGAATTGTTTATATAAAACCAGTTCTCAGAAATTCTATTATGACTTTGATAAATCCTATTTAAAAAAAACAAAAAACCTTCAAGCAAACCAAAACCTACCACCTTGGAGGTTCTGTTCTGCATTTCTGGCCATTTTCATCTCCAAAGTAAGAATTTCTCATCTAGAGGATAAAGCCTGAGAAATCATATTCAGTCTGATGGACTGGTTCACCCAAGAACCACTCCTCACGGTGGCAGAGCAGTTCAAAGCTCTCTGCACTTTTTCCAGGCACTTCTGCCAGAACAAAAGCATTACAATACGGGATACACTGAACTAGAGGACTGAAGTAGCCCTGAAATCAGCTGGTTATCAAATTGAAGGGTGATGCTTTGTTATTGATGCTGCAATCAAGAAAACCAAAACTGCTTCTCACACCACAGATTTAAAGAGTCTGGGAAAACCAAGAGGAGAAGGGACTGCCAGGACAGAATCAGTGCAGCCTCAGAGAAATCACAGGTCTATTTCCACCCCAAAAAAAATCCCAGACCCAATTCACTGGTAAAGCATAAACTGCAGTGGTAACCCCAAATCCAAAGTTAAAATTCCTAGTCTTGTGAGAAAAGTTATATATAAAATCACTGTGGAATACGCTGGGACATAAAATTGTCCTGAGGCTTTCTATAAAGGACAGGTTTATTTTTGTGTAACCTTGCAGAAAAAGAACGCATGACCCTTCTGCTCCCAGCCACAGGGATGACTGTGACTTCCTCTATCATTTTTATACTCCTGAGGATTTTTGTTACATTTACTTCAATTTCTTGCAGCTCAGCTGTCATTTTCCAGGCACTGGGATCACATTGTGGAAACGTGAAACAAGTAGAGTCTTAAGTCCTGGAATTTAAATAGGTATACTGACAGCTAGTTCTTTCTATTTCTTGCTTGGCTACTGCCAATGCAGAAACACTTCCAAATGAAGATCTTCATTATGTCTCCTAGTAAGTCTACTGGGTTTTTTTTAAAAAAAAAAAACAGTTTGTATCTACTCTTACAGCGTTCTCAAGAATCACAGGATCATTTAGATTGGAAAAGACCTGTAAGATCATCGAGTCCAACCACTAACCTAGCACTGCCAAGTCCATCGCTAAATCATGTCCCTTAGCACAACTTGTACTTTTAAATACCTCCAGAGATGGTGACTGCAACAATTCCCTGGGAACCTGTTCCAATGCCTGACAACACTTGTGGTGAAAAAATTCTTCCTAATATCCGGTCTAAACCTCCTTTACCACAGCTTGAGGCCATTTCCTCTCATCCTGTGGCTTGTAACCTGGGAGAAGAGATTGACTCCCACCTCGCTCCTGTCTCCTCTCAGGTACTTGTAGAGAGTGATTAAGGTCTTCCCCGAGTCTCCTTTTCTTCAGGCTGAACAACCCCAGCTCTCTCAGCCGCTCCTGATCAGACTCATGCCTCAGACCCTTCACTAGTGTTCTTGCCCTTCCTTGGATACAGAGAATACACCTTCCCTCTTGGTCTTTGGTAAGTTTTAATCCAGTATAGAGAACTGAATAGCTAAGAGTGAAATATTTGGCCATCTGAATGCCCATCTATTTAGCTGTACATGACCTTTCATGTTTATCCCTAGAGATAGGTCATACTTTGAGGTCTCACCTCTGATCTACATATGATCATACAGTCGCCTCTCAAGCCTATGATCTGCAGCAGTGAGCAGTTTGAGTGCATTGCTCCTTCTGCCCAAGTTTACTGTATTAAGTTTGTTCCACTGATCAATAAACATCTGTTCTGCTGTGCTCTGTCAAATACACTGGCTGCCAGAATTCTTCATTTTGCAATTAATAATGTATTTACCTAAACCTGAGAAGAGGCGAATGAACAACGAGGAAGCAGCAGTGTCACTTGTTTCAGAGCACGTGGTGTCACACAAAAACCTACAGCGTGACAGTAAACTAACTGCATCATCAGCAATCTAAGATGACCCTCAAGACTGGTTTTGGTACCCACCAAGCAATTCCTCCACTCTCCTTCACAAGGAAGAGGGTAAATACCAGATTTTAGACCACCATTGTTTTCATTCTTTTAATGGTTAGTTTTTAAAAGTATCTCAGGAAGAAAGTTAGAACAAAAACAAAAAAAGAAGAAGAGAGACATTTATTTTACTGCAGGTCAACTGCAAGCACTTTTTTCCTTCCTGAACAACACAGCACATCTCTGTTTTCTAGTCTATTATTGCTTCTATTCCTTGAAAAGCCTGCGTTTTCCATTATTTCCAGCAAATAAATAAGCAGGCAGAGGAACAAATGTAGAAGACATTTAACTCAAAATCTAATAGCACTCCAGAATCTGATATATCTCAGCTGGATAAGACAAAATGCAGGACCATACAAAAAAAGGTATCTTATACGCTTAGCTCAAAGGCATGCAACTATGAACAAGAGCTGAAAAGCTGAAAGAAAAAGATCACAAGAATTGGTCTAAAAGTATCAAGTTTAGGGGAAACCTGCAGAGTAATAATAACCAGAGGTTCAGAACTGCCAGCATGAAGACCTGTTGGATTGATCAGTTTCCTACATAAATGAAGAAGATCTACACATCACTCCCATTAAGTGAAACTAAAACCAAAGCCACGGGATGCTTTAGAAGCAGCATTTGCCTCCACATTGCCACAACTCCCCGGCAACCCCAATTCTAATCTGCTGCACATTTACCATAGTAGCTGTGCTTTGAGATGATTCTTCTTCTGTACAAACTGTCGACACAGCCAGGGAAGGCAGCCTGGATGAAGAGGATAATGTTGATGTCTCCATGCCACTGTCCTCATTTAGAGCAGAAAGACCAACCATGTGGTGTCCATTCAGTTCACTAGCTCTGCTCTGAGCACAGGTCTGCAAAGAGCTGAGCAAAGTGCCGTTGCGGAGACAGGTAGTGCTGTGGAAAGTGCTCGTGAGCTTTGACGATTTTTGATCACTCTCATCGGAGTCAAGTTTAGGAAAGGACAGGGATTTGATATTGCTCACTGAAGTGATAGGGGACAGGGACACTTTGGAAGACAAGGACATCTTTTCACAGTTTCCCAACTGTGGTAAAGTGATAAAGCCATTGGGCTTGTGAAGGGGCTTGAAGTCCAATGTGGCCCTTTCTATTGATGCCAGAACTTCCTCATCTTGCAACACAGACTCAGACCCTCCTTTGGGCAAAGTATTATCTAAAAGCTGGGCAACGATTGGCCCAGTAGTACCAACATGAATTTCAAGAATATTTTTTAATTCCTCCTTGTCATCGATAGTTTTTAATTCCAGTTTGTCAAATGGGTCTTCTTCACATTCAAAATCAGCTGGGTTGAAGTCTGCTTTTGGATGAGGCGGACTAAGAACCTTTTGCTTCACAGCACTGTTGTCGGCTGGCGTGGGAGTAAGAATATTATTGTGCTGCAGGCTAGCGAGGATGGGGTTAATAGGAGGAGGCACAGCCTCAGGGCAAGGTCCCTCTGAGAACCCCATGTTGCTGCTGTCCTCTGGAGCTGCTTTTGAGCTCGCTAGCGCTTCTTCTGCCTTGCGTTCAGCTTCTCTCTGGGCAACTTGCATTTTTTTGATATCTTCAGCCCACTCGATTGTTTTCTTTTCCAGTGAGAAGTCATACTGACCAGGGTGGAGACAAAAAAAAAGAAAATATAAATTGTAAGGATTCTAGCCACTACTTCAAACAGTAACATAAGTAACACAGAGTAAGAGCTACATGAATTACCATGGACAGGAGTCATTTGTTTCCCAGCATCTCTTGTAACCTACAGACTGGCAAAGCTGTAAGACACCAGCAATAGTTTATTTTGCTCCTAGCAGCAAAACCTGACTAGAGTCTGGATTAGTCTGGATATTTTGCCTCCTTCCTACATTAAGTAGTGCTTCAGAGCTACTCATCATCCCAAGATCAGTTTCACAGCCCGCCCACGTTCTTCCCACTTGACAACAGACATAGCAAGGGAAAGTGTAATGCGTTACTGGGTGGAAAAATGGCACCCAGGCCTGGCAACACTGAACTACCCCCTGTGCACAAGCTGCACAAGTCATTCAAGATTATAGCAGCGTGCTTATGCATCTAATGACCAATATGGTATTATCCAGTTTCTCTTAAAGGATTCTTAAAGAACTTGGTATTAGAGTTTTACACCCAGTGGTTTAAGAGGCACTGGTATTCTTACCCCAACAGCTCACCGGACAATGGGGATACACTGCCTACACCAGTGATGGCAACTACCTGCAATAGCAGATTTTGCTGCAGTCGTTGGCATGACAGGATCCCACAGGCTTTTCTCATTTAACTGGCTCCTTCAGGGCCAGGTTAGCATAGGGAGGCATTTGTAAGCTACTCACTACCAGTTTACTGGCCATGGTTTGATTGAGAGAACAAAATTCTGAACAGACTAAATCTACTTAAAGCTTTAGTATCTTCATAATATTTTATGAAGAAAGAACAGCCTCAAATGCTCTTTAAACAAACACAGTATGTTTAGAAAACACAGCCTATGAACCAAGTCCAGGGTGTAGTCAAGACAAGAAGTCATAAGACATCCTTGCCAGGATGATGGCACGTAACCAAACAGGAGTGGTCTTGCCATGGCACTGCTTGGTTGTACAAACTCCCAGCTCTAAAGAGCAACAAGTCAGCAAGGCTTGCTAGGACTCTACCGGGCTTTTCTGTGACCCACTACGTGTTGCAGCACATCCCACCCCACAGCAGGTTCCAGTGAGAACCTGGAGACCTGTCATCTCAACTGTACGAGTTTCCTGCTCCCTTAGCTCCAAGACTCCAAGGGCTGCGATACACAATGTATCAGCTAAGTGACTCTGAAAAACAACTCGCTGGCAGAAGTGCTGAGCACTACTCATTACACATTCTTTGCTATCTGAACGGACGTATCATAGTTTTGTGTGTGTGTGTATGGTCATACATATGGCCAAAATTGACCAGAGCCATATTTTTTTAATATTAAAAAGGGGGTATTTATATGAAAATATATAACTTCGGTTAATTTTGTTTCCCTGCACTTTTTTAAACAGCTCTCGGTACAGCTGTAAAAAAGTAAACTGCACCACAAGACACGTAGTCTACGTAGTCACATCGTATTATGCAAGGAGTTGAGTGCAATTGGGCGTACTAACTTGAGTCTCAGCTCGACAGGAAATGGAGACATAGCGCAAAGAAGCCAGCAATAAGACATTAGGGCCTCCTTTTGCTCTAACACACCAGCTTAACTGGGTGGAAATACACGCATTAGGACCATCAGGTAATCATTTAACGTTTGTAATGAAAAAGCCATGATGTAGGATAATTCAGATATTCAGCTCTTGGGTGGATGAGTTCCAGTGCAGTAAAAAAAGGGAGGAAAACTCCCCCCCAAAAATCTACAGCAATCTGTCACAGCTGAAGTGAAAGCAGTAATAATTTTGGATTGACAAAGGAAAATAATGGATCCAAATAAGAAAATACAGTTAAATTAGATTTCCTGTATCATGACCTGCATTTGGAGATTAGATTTTCAACAACTGTACTAAAGGAACTGTTTTTATGCTGCCAAGAGCTTATGGTAACAAAGACGTGCTCCTGAAAGATCACCAGTACCAAGCTGTAGCCTGTTTGCTCTACAGACAGAAAGAAGTCTCCCACTCAGAACTGCACAGAAAACAAGAACTGGAAAATTATTTCTTCATCACACTATTGCAAAAAACCATAAAATACGGCCATAGAAACATTTGTTACCCTCAAACAAGATTCTGCAAGTATGACATAGCATGGGTGTATCAGTTCTTACCATTTTCCCCCTCTTAAAAATGCTACCTAAATTTAGTTACGGTAACATTTAGACCTGTAACTATTACACAGTAACACTGTGCTTTTTTGAAGTAGATACATAAAATCCAAATAAATAATAACAAGTAGAAGCTTTTTGCACTGCCCATCATAGTTTTAATCTTTCTACATATTCCAGTAGAACTTCTGCAACTACTGCCTGGCAAACAAAATGACACGAGGGGACCGACAAGACTAACATGTGAATGTGTGTGCAAACTATGACTACTTGCAATTTACAGCTCCATGTGTCAGGGGCAAGAGAGCAGAAAAGCAAAACTTATCACTTACCTGGGCTTCTCTGACAAGCTGAGAAGAATCAGGCAGGCAGAAACCAATGGGTAATCCAACCTTTGCTGGGGTTTTGAATTTGTCTCCTATCTTAAATGGGACATCATCAAGATAATTGAAAGGCCCTAAGATCAAAAGCAGAAATTATATCAGAAAAACCTTACAAGTTTAATGCATTCAATTAAGACTCACACTTCTGTATTTGAGAGCTATTATCTCAGCTGCCCCAAGTACACCAGGTGACTCAATACAATGAAAGTTGCTTGATCAGAAACACACAGTCTGTTTGGACTTCATTGCCTCTGTTTTGCTTTTGGTGTTTATTTGTTGCCTTAAAAAAAAGTTATAACTCATAGCTGTTAAAAAAACAACAAACACACAACTTAACAATCCTACAACTGAACAGATTTTGAAGTTAATATACGAAACATCTTAGCTGCCCTTGTGACAAGACTATGCTTACACAACTGGAAGCTGAAGCTCTCCTGAATACACTATTCTATTATGTCTCTACAAAAAGACTTTGTCATATTCAAAGCAGGTTTTTAAATGCGTTTATAGCAGCTAAGACAAACTAAAATCCAGGTTTTGGCATACAAATAGGAAGCAACACTTGGACAGAAGTGGTCACAAGGGCAAAGTCTAGACACTCCACTTTAACCAAAACACTGTGAAATAGCTCAAGACTATTTCGCGTAGCAATTCTGATTTCTGAAACAATGCAGTCTAACTCAATCAGCTGTCTGATTTGTGATCACTCCAATGAGAGGCCTCAGACTTATTTCATGGTCCTCAATCTGTCTTTTATATCTATCACTTATGTGTGGTATTTAAGAAGTGTTTTAGAATGGAACTCTTTCTTCAGGCATCCTGCAAACTCATGACCCTGATCCTGCAGAATCGCTTCACACCACAGCTCAACCATGTCCAAGAAGCCAGACTATAGGCTTCTTTTCTTGGGGCTGCTGTGAAGAAGTAATTGCACTCAGTTTCTTGATGAACTGAAAGGGGTCTCCTGCGTCACTGATCTAAGCTTTTGGAACTACAGGCAAGGTTTCTGGCTGTGTATAACAAGCTGAAGTGTCCTTCTCACACTCACTTGAAACTTTGCTTTGAATGTTGCAGAACTAACAAGATATTAGTGGCAACATCGAAGATGGTGTTCAGCAACTAACCTCTTGCTCAGTGAGCTGTAGCTTGCCATTTTTATCTGACCTATTTTCATACGCGGTTGACAGTTTAAGTACTGTTTGTGTTCCTTCACTGTTGACTCATCTACAACAAGGCAGCCACAGGCTCCAAAAGGACGAGCCGCTTTCAAAAACAGGAACATCCTGTTAATTTGGAGTTAAATGTTAATGTGCTGTCATCACTCAAGCTTTCATGCTATGCACCGCACTGGCTGGTCCCAGAGTCCTGTTAGGACACAGGTGGTATTTCCTCCGGCTTTGAAACCATCAGGCTGAATAACCTACATCCCACCTGCACTGCCAAGACGAAAAAACATTCCAGGCAGAATATAATCGCATTTTCACTGATCCTTACTGAGAAGCACACATTCAAGCATTACACAGCACAGCATCTAGATGGCACCTCACTGGCCACCAACATCACTGGATGGAACACAGTGCCCAAATAGTATTTGAACTGCCAGTTTGAGAACTCGGATGTGCTAAGGTATTTGCATATGCAGAAACAGCAGCTGTGACAGCCTTTACACTGACAGTGGTTAACTCACGGCCAGGTCAGAGACAACCAGATCTTCCAACAGCTCAGAGGCCAGTGCGACTGCTGCTACTACACCCTGCTTAGTCCCACTGGCACGAGTCCTGCTCTAAGCAGGATGATCCAAGTGAAGCAGGATTACCTCTCTGCAACCATCTCATAGCCCAAATTGCTCAGTGTGCAAATACTTGTCTCATTAGACTTGTTGGCAAAGTATGTGGTAGACACCTCCCTTTGCACAGCTACTGCCTTTGCCTGAAATAGATGCTAGCCACAGAGGGTACAAGCACACACTGTGGTATTTACACAGCAATGTTCCTTGGCGCAGTAAAAAAACCCCTAAACACACCTAGACTAGATGGGCTGCATTGATAGCTGCCAGGTTAACCTCAGAAGACAGACTAAGGGATAAAAAACTCCTAGTTTCCTCCTTGTATACCAATTTTTTAAATAATGACCACTGCTATAACCATATCTTGAATATAACTCTGCCACAAAACCTGCAAGCACACGTTAAGAAACACACCAAGTGTTTTTGGACATCTGATGTTAAAAAGTCTTTGAGGCAAAATCCTGATGCACATAGATTTCACTTTGTTCCAGCCCAATCAGAACAGTACTAGCCTAGAGAAGTTAAAATCTGACCCAGAAAGCCAAGAACCTTTTGCTTTTCGTAAACGGATGAACGTTCTGCCTGAACACACTGATGAGTAAGGGTGCAAATGGTTTTAAATGGCAAATTCTAAAGCAATAAGCAAAACCTACATATAGAAAGTACTATGTAAGTCACTGTTTGAATAACCAGATGTTCAAGTGAAGCAATTAAAGGTTTTTTTTAACTGTTATTTAAGATGGCTGTTAACCACTTCATCCTTTTAGCAGTTAAAAGCATACTGAGGAAGTTCTGAGAACAGCCCTGGCAGAACTACCTGTCAGTCTGACACTGCGCATTGTATGATATTCCTGGCCCAAGAAACTACTGTAAGATTTCTCTCTGGTTTAGTGTAATGTGGAAATCACTGGCCAACTTACAGAACTGACCACCAGTTTGGTAGCAAAATGGAAACATTTCAGACAAAACCAGCTACCAGTTATGAATGGGGAACAGTTTTGAAACTAAGTGGAACTTTGTTTTTGTTGTCACACAAACCACGCTTACAGTTTTCAGAAACTGGAGTTAAAAAGCTTTTGAGTTGTACAGTGACAGCAACAGTACAACAGCAGTATTAACATATTGCACCTGGTATAACCCATACCTTTTGTGTATCAGATGAGAGCTGCACTTCTAGATGCCACTAATTACTGGAACTTAATACTGAACTTCCAATTATACAAATGACAGGAAAGCATTTGAAGTTAAATGCTTAGCCATAGTTACAGGTCAATGCTAACAATACCCTTCAAGACAGGAAGAGGGTTCCTTGGTCTTCACCTATACCTATGTACTTATCCTCACCTCCACCTCAACATGCTCCTGAGAAACCTGCTCTAGGTAGCCGATTGAGCAGGGGTTTGACAAGATGATCTACAGAGTTCCTTTCCAACCTCAACCATCCTGTGACTCAACCACAGTCCTCAAACCTCTAGTAAGCACCTCAGCAAGCACAAGAGATACATTAACTGTGTTGACCAATTTCATCAGCCTGCCAGACTTTGAGCTGAAGGTAGCTGTTGGGCTAGATGCTTTACAGTAAGCCAAAATTCACTCTGTGGGATTAATTCTTAACGACCTGGAGAAGGCTGAAACAATTGCCCTGCTGATTTCTTAAGACATAAGTCAAGGAAGTTGCATCACTAGTCCTCAGAAACAGTACTGTGACAATATTACTGCTGTCATTAGGAAGAGGGTACATAAAAAGGTAGACAAGATAACCAGCCAGCTTAAAGCACTGTTAGTTTTGATTTTGCTATTTTGAAGCTAGGTGCATGTAACACCACACTGTACTGTTTTGAGAAATATTTAAGACAGGCTGAATTCTAGCTCCGAGCAATGTCTTTGCTTGTCTGATTTAGGAAGCTGAGGAGAGGAAATAAAAACAGACTCAAAAGACAAGCAGTTCAGAGTGTTCACAGGGACCATTCACAGGTACGAGAGCAACTGCTAAAGAGCTGGCAGCTATCTAATAAATTAGTTGTCCAGCAGCAGGATCACTGGGCCACAGGAAAGGAGACCATCTGAAAATTAAGTTTTGATAGGCCATTTTTACTAAGCCTTAACCACGTATTTAAGTGAGGCAGTTTTTCACACTTGCAAGACTGAACAAAAAGATCAAAGAGATATAGAATTCTCCAGGACTCTCTTATCTGCAACATTATCCTGGAAGATAAAGACTGAGTTTCTAAAAGCAGAATTTTCCACAGCATGAAGAAATCACATCAGAAACCTCACATGAACCTCCCAATACTGCCTTGAGTGATCACTGAATTGAAGAAGCTACATTACATTCAAAAAACTGAACTCTACTGTTCCACAGAAGTGGAACACCATTTTCTAAAAAGATAAGCAGATATACAGGCAAATAATTTTATGATTTTCAATCATCTGCATGGCACCATGCATCTCAAGTGTAGAAGACAGTCTCTTGTTCTTTTTTTTAACCAGATTGGTCCAATGCAGGAAAAAAAAGTTCACTGCTGAGCAAAAAGCAAGCATCACTCAAAGATATATTAGAAGCTTCACTTTCAATCCAACTTCTTATGTGACTTACATAGAAAGGAGCTATAGATCTAGCATCCATTTCAGCAAACATCAGATCAGTATCGCAACTGCAGTTCAGCCTTGATTCTGAAGAGGGGAGTGGGGAAGGGGAAGGTATTATTCTGCCATGCAGGAGCGGGGAACAGTCACAGGCCGAATTTCAGTTAAACCAGACAACAGGCACAGCATAAACAAGAAACTGTGCAAGAAGGAAGCCAAAGCACTTCATTCAACAAATACTACTCAGAGGCTAAACAGATTAGTCTCTATGGACTGTTCAGGCTGGGACATTAGTCAGAAGCAATGGTGGGATTCATCCTATCAAAAAGGCAAGGATGTCAAATTTCACTTACCGTGAGAGTCAGACCCCAACTTCTTAGAAGCCATTTAGAACCTGAAAAACATTTTAAAAGAGCTTTAACAACTTTATACATGTAGCACAGCATTAGTCTGTACAGTTATACTGAGTCTTATCTCTGGATTATGAGATGTGTTGCAGCCACTTGCTGTTTATCCTGTTCCCAAGATAGATAAGCTAACTTATTTTATAGCCTTGGGAATTGACTGAGCAGAAAAGTAACTTAGCCCAGGGTCTGTCAATCTAAATGGAAAACAAGCAAAGACCCAAAACAAACAAACACCCCAAAACAGCACGCCAAGAAACAGCCAGGTTGATCAGGAAGGCAGAGTGTGTTCAAGATCACAGCAATCAGGGGCTGCTCTCTCCCAGCCCCATGGAGCACACCGTGCCTCCCCTGGCACTAAGAATAGCGTTTCCTACTGGAAATACCACACTGATCCTCTTCAGTTTAATCCCTGCTGCTCTAAAAAGGGATACTATCATATTGGGTATGCAGTCTGACAGCCAGCGTGGCACTTGTCTAGACACACTGGGTAATGCACCGATAACAATACAGGTATACAATAAATGGTACCGTTAGGAAAATATTTTCAGATACACACAAGAAAACAACGCTAACAGGAGTCCTCATCTACTGCCCACAGAATTTTACTAACAATATTTGGATGTAAGTCCTACACAGCCAAGATGTTAAATAAAGAAGTGCCTAGCCAGCTTCTGACGCAGAACAGGCCTGTCCTGAGAAAAAGAGTTAAGATATAATTTATCTGTCTAATTATTCATCAGCTAAAACCCTGCTCCAGGATGACTATGGTGTGTGCAATAACAACTGGTTCTTCTGCGAGATCAGAAGTACATCACAAGATCTCAAGACAGCACAGCAAAATTCTTCAAATAACTGAATTTCTAAATTCTCCTCTGACATTATACATGACAAAGAATCAGAGTTGCCTTTTGTTTCTGAGGTTCTCCAGCTCACAGACTGAAATGCCCCACAGCCATTCTTCAAAAACATGAAGCTATCTGGCGCACCCCCACCAGCAGCGGACAGTGCTCACAGCAGAACTCGGAGCAAATCTAATATTCAAACCCATCACTCCTCAATGGAGGTCCAACTCTCAGCCTCACTGTTGCCATCGCAGAATCCAACTGTAAATGTTAACTCAAAGGAAGGATGCAGTAAAGTGAGAATTACACAGACAGCTTAGCTGTCCCTCCTGGCACATCTGGTCAGGCAGAGCCAGGTTCTAGTACTTTAGAAAAGTACCTTTTGCTCTGTCCTTTCAACATTATGTTGAATTCAATAGGTGAACCAACCCTACAGGCTAATGGGAATTCAACACATGGCTACAGTCAAAGCTGTATGAAGATTACCTGGGTGCAACCAGACTTCATGAAACACAGTAAGCAAACACTAGGCTATGGGGAAGTGAGTCATGCTGCACAACTCCAGGCGTACCTTGTACATAAAAGCCATGTGTCACTCTGCTTAATGTTTGTCAGGTCTCCTCAGCATATCTCGCTGTCTCTCCCTAAATTGCTATTGTGCCTAAAACTACTCCACTAAACCAGAGAACTGGTTTTGGCACTAGCTGGCAACTGCTTCTCAGAAGCTACCAAATATTGCAGCTTCAAAGACATAAGAAAAAGCAGGTGGAACAGTGCCAAGCCTGCCATCTCAAGAAGGCTGTCAAGGGCAAAGCCACAGGACCACCCAGTAGAGTTGCATGTCAGCTACTAGAGCTGAATAGGCTCTAGCACTCCCAGTGCCACAGAGCAGACCAGACTGCAGACAACAGAACACGAAACAGGCTGCACCTTTCAGACAAGCTGCTACATTACTAGTTTCTCTGTATGAAAGTAGCAATTCAGACATCAACTTGATTTGTTACTACTGAAAAAGCCAAGCCACATGTTAAATCATACAGCCTTCATATACTTCACCAGTCCTCTGTATGTCACCAGAGACTGTGATGCACCAACCACCTGCAAGCATGCACCATGGCTGCCCATCATCCACCACTACTGCAGCAGAGCTGAACTAGGGACAAGGCCCCTACCCACTTTATTTAATTTCTCTGAGTTCTTCTTTCTTCTACTTACTATCTCAGACTGAAAAGCAAGTGTTCCTTTTCAACAGGATTTTAAAACTCCTGATGAGAGGAAAATAACCTCCTCACTTTGGCAGCTCAGACGACAAGGAAGTTTTTTCAATGCAGCATCAGTCATCTACAGGCAATACAGTTTATGCTATTTACCTCATTCACTAAAAGCAGCTTATTCCAGGCTGCACTGACATTGATCTTAGGTAAGTGAACACTGAGTTACCGTGACACACACAGTTTGCTTCAGGGACATTAGCAGCAATGCATAAAAATACCACAGAACCAAAGATGTGCATCAGTCTGGAGCTGCAAAAAGCCCGAGATGTGTCATCAGTGTCAGAATGCCCCACATAAGCAGTAAGTAGCTTGCTTCTGTAGCTTTCAGACCAGTCACCTGCATTAACTTCAAGGTGCAGTGGGAAAAGTTATTCCTCTGCCATATGCAACACCTCATTTTAATGACAGAACTAGCTACGGCATATCAATAGCAAGCTAATCATGAAATGGACCGTTTCCAGACAGACAGTGACACTTCAGGTAGCATTTCAGTTTGTGGCACACTAGCTCTTCCAGATGCACTGTGAGTATGCACTTAAGGCGTTATTACTGCAGAAGTCACTGTCAGCAAACAGAATTGCAAAACACTGCACAGAGTAATACTAGAACAGGCTGCCAGCCACATTTTGTCATCTTCCTTCCAAAGAGGGTTTAATTAAAATAACGTCTTGTGACTAATCAGATTTGATAGGCTATTCAGGGACCACTGTTACAAGCATCTTGATGTTGTTTTGTGCAGCTGGCTGGGAAAAAAAAGTATTCGCAGCCAGTTAGAAGGTTACTGATGTTGCTACTACGGTTCTGGGCATTATCTGAACAGTATTTGCTTAGTCAAAGCCCTTACACCATGCAGTAAAGGTACCTTTGTTACCACTCCTGTTAGAAATTTAAAGGGCTCGCTCCCAAAGCCTTAGTCCAAAGGAGCTAATGATGGACAACTGCAGCCCTATCACTGTTGCCTTTGACCTCCAGGCTCCAGAACCGGATGCTGAAGGGCATTTTCATCTGATGCTTTATTGCACATTTCAAATTGACAAAGAACATGCTTTATACTGCATGCCAACTTTTTCAATGCTAGTCCTGGGCTAGGGAAACAAATGAGTTGCACAGTACTACAAGGTTTTCTTACAGCCATGTAGAAGCTCTCTTCTATAGATGTTGACCTCCTTAGCTCCACTCCCTCATTCTTGGTTCCAGCTAACCTTCTGATGAGAAGATGAGGGCTACAAGTGTCTAAAAGTTGTAAGGAACTATAATGTCAGCAGCCACTGAAGCAACCTGATGTGAGCTCTTTCTTTCCTGTATGTCCATTTTTCAATTAGTAACACCGCGGTAATAGGGCAACATTCTTAAAACCAGCCAGCCAGAGGAACACAGTATAGCAGAGCCCATGATGATGGAGGGACAGGGAAACAACCACAACAACAACAACAACAACAACAAATACCCACAAAGATGTAGAAACAGGAGTGACAAGACAAAACTGATGACAGAAACAACTGGCACAAAGACAGATGACAAGCTGGAGAAGCTTGAAGAGACAGCATAGAGATGACCAAGATAGTCCACCTGGCACATCACCACTTAAACCTGAATGACTACTTAGCTGTGCTGCCAGACAAGGAGGATGCAGGGAAGTGTGACTTGGTGCAGTCAAGCAATTCCAAAGGGACATTCTCATCAACAGATGAGGAAAAAATTACTACCAAAAGTGACTTATGAGGAGCATCTGGGAAGTTGGGTTGATTTTCTTTTAATTATTTCAATGTTCCGTGGATTGGTGTTTTCCCTGAAGTTTATATCTATGCTCCTTTTCTTCTGAAAGAGCTCTGACTGGTCAACTTGGAAACATCCTACTACTAATGGTACCTGAATAGCTTTCTCAGTGATAGCTCAAGCCAAGTTAACTATTGGTCAAGAGGAGCTGGTCTCTTGTTACTATAACCCTCATTTTGGAGTGCAAGTACATGTAGATGCCACATCACATAAATTCTCTGAAGTAATTCCCACTTAAGATTCAGATAAATGAGAAATGTATGTATTATGGGACAGAGGAAACCAAAATGCCTCAAGCTATCAATCATCACCAAATCAGTGCACTTATGATTTTCAGAGAAAGGAGACATGACCTTGGCAAGTTCCATTTTGCCTGCTAATACAAATTGTGTAGTTCAAGTACACAGAACTGAAAAGGTACCCATTCACTCTGAAAATTACAAAAAAAGACAAAAAAAGTCAAAAGTAAATGATAATTTTTTTTCTCCCTATATCACATTCATTAACTACTAGTGATTTTACACTGAGAAACAGCGAAAAGCAGTTTGATTCAAGCAACTGGTTTCTAATGCGTCACAGGTATTCCAGATTTAGACAGTGGTTTATGCTTTCACTACAACTACTTGTTTCAGTGCAAGTGAAAGCCTATAATCAATGTCACGATTCTGTAGATAGCCTAATTAGAAAAAAAATAGAAGTAGATACTGCCTGTTGCTAAGATAAAACAAAAGTTAAGATTTTCATATCAAAGCTTCCCACCTATGTTCAATCACTGCTATGCAACTGAGATCTCTTACACAGACTGATAGCAAAAAGCTGATCACAGATGTTTACTACAGTACAAAACAGATTCTGTTTTCATTTACTGCAGTCTCTAAATAGATGACATCACCCCAAAATCTGCAGCAACCGCTTCTGCTTTGCACCTCTATCAGTTCTGCAAACAATGAGCACAGTCAGCTGTGTGGACATACTCCCCTTTCATTTAGCATGACCATGTTGAGCCACAGACAACAGCTCTTTGGATAAATTATGTTGTTGTAAAACCAGACTTGACACTTGGCAAGAACATGCCCTGCAGGGGAAAA